TCTGCCACATCCATGCTTCAGTCATGCTTATCCAATGAAGTTGCTATTAAAGGTCGAGGCAGGCAGATCAGGAGGTCAGAAGATCGAGACCATCCTGGCCAACAAGGTGAAACCCCAACTGTACTAAAAATACAAAAATTAGCCAGGCATCATGGCATGCACCTGTAATCCCAGCTACTCAGGAGGCTGAGGCAGGAGAATCGCTTGAACCTGGGAGTCAGATGTTGTAGTGACCCAAGATCGCCACTGCACTCCAGCCTGGCAACAGAGAGAGACTCTGTCTCAAAAAAAAAAAAAAAAAAAGGGTCCAAGAGGCCATGGTTGTGGGGCAGGGGGACGGTGGAGGTACAGGGAGAGCTCCAGGTAGTTAAACGCGTGCAAGTTCCTGGAAGGTGGGACACCTAGGGAGAACATGGAAGCTCTGCTCCCCTTTCCACGTGTCTTGTCCTATGCATTGCTTCATCTGTATCCTTTGTAATATCCTGTATCATAAATCAGTAAAAATAAGTGTTTCCTGAGCTCTGTGAGCTGATCTGCCAAATTAATTGAACCCAAGGAGGGAGTCACAGCCACCCCAATCTATAGCCAGAGGGTTACAAGCACAGGCAAAATAACCTGGAGCTTGTGAGTGGTGTTGGAAGTTGTGGGCAGCCTTGGGAACTGAGCCCTCACCTGTGGAATCTGCCACTACTTCCAGGTATATAGTGCAAGAGTTGAACTGGGTTGCAGGATATTAATGCTGCAGAATTGCTTGTTCACCAAAGTAGTCTATGTTGATAGTGGTGTGAGAACAGAGGGGGGGAAAAGTTGTTTTATTCTACACAGCACTGAATGTAAAATATATAAAATTCCATGTATTATGAATAGGCTTCCTAAAGACAAAGTCTGATCCTAAGGCAGACAATATTTATATCATATGTTTTAAAATATTCAAACTAGATATATGCTCATTGCTCTCCTTTTGTCTTTTTCTTCTTTGGAATTTGCATTGTTCTATTAACATTCCAACAGTCTATATGCCTATTTAGACATAGGAAAAGAGTAGCAACAATCTCATAATGACACATGTGAAAAGAATTATTTCCGAATAGCACCTTACATTTTTGAATTCATGGATTTTGCATATTTGATATGGTCACGTTGATCGGTTGAACACTGACAATGCATTTGACCCTTTCAGTGGATTTTAATTTAGGGTTTGAAATCCTGTTGTTCTTGGTGGAGCCACAAATATCATAAACTGCCTCATTTATGGCACTCTCAAACAACCTTGAAATTCATGGCAATTTAACATTTTTTAGTGAATATTAGTGATTTCATCTAAAACTCTGCATGCTATCAGGAACACAACAGATTTCAGAGTTAGAGCAATCAAAACTGACCTTCAGATGATTTTCTAAGGCAGCAAAATGCTTTGGGGATGAATGAAAATGAAAGAGAGATAGATGTTTCACTCCCATGTCAAAGGGTGTAGGAAATGATTTGCATTACATGAAAATTTCCTTGGCAACAAAAGTTCTTCACACACATAGCCTCTTTCCAAACATTTAAGCTGATTACTTGCTATGACCATGTCAACCACAATCTTGTCTGACTCCACAGCATAAATAAATAGTACCTCTTTGGTATTTAAATTGAAATTTTCTTAAACCAGAAGGTTTAGATGACTTACCAACACTTTTGAGAATAATATTATTACATCTTGGGCATGAGAAAACTTGACCCTTTATGTGCTTGAAGTAGAATTCCTAGAAAATGTTCACATATTCATTCAATCAAAATTGCCAAGAATGCTATTTGCATATGCCAGACTCCCTTTTGTGGAATGAGAGTGTAATACTGTGACTAGATCCATCTCTTTGGGAACCACGAGCTTGAATCTCCAGCTTTGGAACTTTGGTAGTTTTATTATTATCATCAAATATTGATTGGACGCTCTGAACCTTTTCTCATTTATATTAGGAGAATGATAATGTCTCCCTGTCAAGGTTATTTTGAAGATAAGGGGTGTGTGTGTATGTGTGTGTATGTATGCACATATGTATGTAGGGGTGTGTGTGTGTATGTGTATATAAAGTAGTTGCTCAATAAATATCACCTTTATTTCCTCTACCCTCCAGTAGGTTGGAAGGCATCCTTGATTCTTACATCCCAAGAATTATAAATGGCTTATTTGGCAATAAATGCGCACAGATAATATATACTAATGGGAAAATTACTTCTATCTTAGTATCCTAATAGAAAAGTGATCACACACGGATCCTGCATGAAACTCATGAGACACTGGAGAGCACATGGCTAAGCATGAAAGGAACAGTGAATAGAAATAACACTGCAGAATTATACTATAGGTTTCCTGGAAACACACAGAAAACAGATAATGTACAAGTCTTCATCTCCTTGGTTAAATTTTTGATGCATTATAAGTGAAATTGCTTTCTTAATTTCTTTTTCAGATCGTTCATTGCTGGCGTATAGAAACACAACTAATTTTGTGTGTTGATTTTGTAACATAGAACATTGCTGAATTTGTTTACTAGCTCTAGTAGCTTTCTTGTGAATTCATTTGGATTTTCCACATATAGAATCATATCATCAACAAGTAAAGAACATCAACTTTCTAATTTGGGAGACTTTTGCTTACTTTTTCTTGATTACCTGCTCTGGCTAATATGTGGACATTTTTATATTATGTCCGATCTTAGATCTCAGTCTTTCATTTTTGAATATGATGTTAGCTACAGGGTCAACTGCATTTTTGCAGAGATGCTTGGGTAATTCAATGGGGAAAGGATAGCAATTTCAACAAATGTTAATGGAACATTTGGATATCTATGTGTCAAAAAATAAAAATGAAATAAAAAGCTTAGATGCTTAACTCATACCATGTATAAAACTAATTCAAATTATTTCATGGATCTAAATGTAAAAGTTTAAGTATAAAACTGTAAATAATAAAGGAGAATTTTTTTTTTTTTACATTGAGTCAGCCCAAAATTTCTGAGATAGGACACAAAAACATGACCCATAAAGGAAAATCTTAGTAAATTGATTTCATGAAAGGTAAAAGCTTTTGCTCTTTAAAGTATACCATTAAGAAAATGAAAACCAAATCCACAGAATGGGACGACTATTTGCAAGTTTTATCCCAAATTAATAAGGAATTCTTTAACTCAGTAAGAGGACTAACAACTCAACTAAAATACAGGCACAATATTTGAAAGATACTTTGCCAAAAATCACATGAATGACAATACACATGAAAAGATGTTCAACATTAGTCACCAGGAAAAATGCAAACTAAAACCACAACGAGATACTACTACACACTCACTGAATGGCTATAATGAAATAGAGTCAATGCCAAATGTTGCTGAGGCCGTAGAGTAACTGGACCTCTTACAAATTGCTAATGTAAATGTAAAACGATACAGCCGTGTTGGAAAATAATTTGGCAGTTCCTTAAAACATTAAAAATATATTCAGTATACAAACCAGCCTTTTTATTCTCAGGATGTAAAGAGATATAAAGACGAATGTCCACACAGACACTTGTAACCATATGTTCATGGATGCATTATTCATAATAGACCAATACTGAAAACAATCTATGCATCAGTTGATCAATGGATAAACAAAATATAGTACATCCAGAAAATACTTCTCAGTAATTAAAAGAATCTACTGAGACATGCAACCATGTGATTGAACCTCAAAAACATTTTGTTAAGAGAAAGAAGCTAGATACAATAGCCTATACATTGTAAAAAGGCTAAATGTTGTATACTTTCATTTATATAAAACTTCTGGGAAAGACAAAATTATCTCATCAAAGACCCTATAACTAGTTTTTTGGGGCTAGAGGTAGGAGTCGTGATTGCCTGGAAATGGGCACAAAGGAACTTTTTTGAAACGGCATAAGTGTTCTACAATTGGATTATAATAATGCTTGCACAAGTATAAATTTACTAAAATCCATCAAACCATATACTTAAAGTGGTTAAATGTATAATATGTAAATTATACTTTAATAAAGCTGTTAATAAAAGGAGAGCTAGAAGAGACTCCCTGGTAAGGAGAGATAAAGAAAAATGTGGATATAAAGATGAATAAATAACAATGAGAATAGTGTCAAGAAGACAAACACTATTAAACAATAAGTGGCTAACTGTATACTTGTGTGTGTGTATGTGTATAATTTTAGTTAAGTTCATAGAAGGTTGAACTAACTGTAATATCATTCACTAAGAAAGAATACAGAAAATAGGAATATTTAATTTATGTTAATTCCTGTTTTGCTTCCTCTCAAGAAGCATGGCTATCATTTTGAAAGCATGAAACCAATATTTAAAGGAAAGAAGTGAATCACTCAGTAGGGAAATTGACTATAAGAAAAGGTCTAACTACTTTATTTTAATTCAATCCTCTTGCATTTTGGAAATTAAATCCTAGGATTCCTACCTTGATAGCCCGCCAGAAAAACACAAAAAAACAAAAAACAAATCACAGATGATATTACTAAACTATTGCTAGTGGCCCCTAGAAGATATAATGAGGGTTATAATCCTGCAGTTCCCAAACTGTGTAGTGAGGTACCATGAGAAATTTTAATTTTAAATGAAAGCACTTCTTGACATCTGTGGGATACAGAGAAAAATACTAGCCAGAGGTAGTTCACTGTGTCAACAATAGATAGCACTACGTTCCTTTCAATCTCATCATATCTTTGTGAAGCCAGTTGTTCTGGCTGCTTCTGCTAGGATCCAACACAAGGACCATGTGATTATCAAGCTGGAACAGGAGAGAAGGCTGGCACCCTTCATCCTCATGCCAACATTTACATTTTTCTGCTCCCCTCCTATTATCAGTGTCCGTCACTCTAGCTATGTTTTGACCCCCTTTGGAGACAGGCATGTTGTCTCATTTGTTTCTAATAAATTGCCTCTGCTGATGCTGAGCTTCTAACTTTACACAGTGTTTTTGAAAATTTTGTTAAAAACCTAGGAGCGAAACCAACGCCTGGCTCGGAGCAGCAGCCTCTGAGGTGTCCCTGGCCAGTGTCCTTCCACCTGTCCACAACTATGGGGAACATCTTCGCCAACCTCTTCAAGGGCCTTCTTGGCAAAAAAGAAATGCGCATCCTCATGGTGGGCCTGGATGCTGCGGGGAAGACCACGATCCTGTACAAGCTTAAGCTGGGTGAGATCGTGACCACCATTCCCACCATAGGCTTCAACGTGGAAACCGTGGAGTACAAGAACATCAGCTTCACTTTGTGGGATGTGGGTGGCCAGGACAAGACCCGACCCCTGTGGCGCCACTACTTCCAGAACACACAAGGCCTGATCTTCGTGGTGGACAGCAATGACAGAGAGCGCGTGAACGAGGCCCGTGAGGAGCTCATGAGAATGCTGGCCGAGGACGAGCTCCGGGATGCTGTCGTCCTGGTGTTCGCCAACAAGCAGGACCTCCCCAAAGCCATGAATGCAGCTGAGATCACAGACAAGCTGGGGCTGCACTCCCTACGCCACAGGAACTGGTACATTCCGGCCACCTGCGCCACCAGCGGTGATGGGCTCTATGAAGGACTGCACTGGCTGTCCAATCAGCTCCGGAACCAGAAGTGAATGCGACCCCACTCCCTCTCACTCCTTTTGCCCTCTGCTTTACTCTCATGTGGTAAACGTGCGGCTCGTGGTGTGAGTGCCAGAAGCTGCCTCCGTGGTTTGGTCACCGTGTGCATCGCACCGTGCTGTAAATGTGGCAGGCGCAGCCTGCAGCCAGGCTTTTTATTTAATGTAAATCGTTCTTGTTTCCAATGAGGCAGTTTCTGGTACTCCTATGCAATATCACTCAGCTTTTTTTATTTTAAAAAGAAAAATCAACTCACTATTCAGTGCTGAGAGGGGATGTAGGCCCATGGGTACCTGGCCTCCAGGAGTCGCTGTGTTGGGAGAGCCGGGCATGCCCTTGGCTTTAGAGCTGTGTTGAAATCCATTTTGGTGGTTGGTTTTTAACCCAAACTCAGTGCATTTTTAAAAATAGTTAAGAATCCAAGTCAAGAACACTTGAACACACAGAAGGGAGACCCCACCTAGCATAGATTTGCAGTTATGGCCTGGATGCCAGTCACCAGCCCAGCTGTTCCCCTCAGGAACATGTGGTGGCGCAGCAGACCGCGATCAATTCTGCATAGTCATAGTAGAGATCCCCGCAACTCGCTGGTCCTTGGGTCACCCTGCATTCCATAGCCATGTGCTTGTCCCTATGCTCCCACGGTTCCCAGGGGCCAGGCTGGGAGCCCACAGCCACCCCACTCTCCCGCAGACCGCCCCACCCACCTTCAGGCAGCCTATGGGAGGCAGGGCCCCATCTGTCCCTCGGTCACCTTGTGGCCAGAGTAGGTCAGTCGTCCCCAACCCTCGTGCTCGCTCAGACACTTTGGCAGGATGTCTGGGGCCTCACCAGCAGGAGCGGTGCAAGCCGGGCAGGCGGTCCACCTAGACCCACAGCCCCTTGGGAGCACCCCACCTCTGTGTGTGATGTAGCTTTCTCTCCCTCAGCCTGCAACGGTCTGATTTGCCATCGAAAAAGACAACCTCTACTTCTTTCTTTTGTATTTTGATAAACACTGAAGAAGCTGGAGCTGTTAAATTTATCTTGGGGAAACCTCAGAACTGGTCTATTTGGTGTCATGGAACCTCTTACTGCTTTCAATACACGATTAGTAATCAACTGTTTTGTATACTTGTTTTCAGTTTTCATTTCGACAAACAAGCACTGTAATTATAGCTATTAGAATAAAATCTCTTAACTATTAAAAAATAAAAAAATAAAAAATAATAAAAACCTAAAACAGATGCAGAAACAACCACAAGCAGTTGAAAGACTGTGCTCAGTATGATGTATCATGATTTTAAAGAGATCAAAAACCAAAAGGAATATGTCCAGTGAAGAATCATTAGGAATGTGAAAGTTTTTAAAAATTCTGACAAATCAGAAACACTTGGAAAAAATGTCCAATTAGTAAAATATAAAAGTAAATGTCTACCACCACTAAGAATTGTAGGCTAGCTTTCCAGTGACATGACTATCCAGTTTTGCCTGAGAGATAATTCCCAGACTGTGTCTCAAATGCAAGAAAGAATAGGTAGCAAAAAGTAAAGCAGGTGCCAATATTTTCACAAAATTAGTGGCAGAATCAGTCAGAAATCACTAAGATTAGATATCATAATTTCATTATAAATGATGATCTACAACTCATATCCAAAAGGAATATGCTAGAATTTTTGTTGCATACAAAGCAATCAATTGTATTGCTAATCAATATATGACACATCATAATTAAGTGGCCAATGAAGTCCAGATTTGTGTTTAGACTGTATTTATACATGAAAGGAATTACGATAGTTCCTTCCCAAAAGAAGCATAAATACCTAGTTTTACTTATTCTGAAATCCAGAGGGACTGATGAAATGTGGGATGCTGAAGAGAAGCTACACAGGTACAAAATATCAATACATCTTCTTAATCACTACCTACGTCCTGCTTTCCATTACCTCAAAATCTAGTACAGTTGTTTTGGAGTCCAATATTCCATTACTTATCTCTCTCCCTCTCCCCTTAAATGTAGATAGCAGAGTTCCAGACATGCTGGTTTGTGATGATCTGTCATGACTTGTGGCGTTTCCTATCATTGTGACTCATGACAGTCTCAGGACACCCCAAGGAGAATATGCATAACACAATATGTTGTAGAGGGCTCCTACCACATGTTCCCAGCAGGCGTTTCTTAGGAATTCTGGAAAAGGTAAGGATGTATGATCTTGAAGTAAATATAGGAAAATGGTCAATATGTTATGAAATTGTAGAACTGCAGGTGACCTTGTGAGGTCAATGCAAGGAACTGAAAAGTGATGTTGAGAAGTCAAAAGATACTTACATGTAATCTTTGGCTTTAAGGAATTAAAGATATAAATGTGAGAGATATTTAAATGAGTGTAACTTAAAGTAGAAAGAAATATCAATTATAGGGTGAGTAATATGCTGTGGTGGATGATACTAATTATTGTAATATCAATAAACAGCTAATGATATAATAATGCCCATAAACTTTGGGGGATGGAAGAATATCAAACTTATAATAAACAAGAATACACCCTTTATTTGTTAAAAACAAACAAACAACAAACAAACAAACAAAAAAACTTACATGGAAATGTCTTTGTGTGGGTGACCAACTATTTTGGTTTAACCAGTACTGTCCTGATTTTACCACTGAAAGTCCTGTGTCCTGGGAGAACTCTTGGTCTGGGAAAACCTAGGACTTTAATCACCTCATTGTTGATTTCATTCCAAAAAACCATTGTAAATTTGCCACTGTGAACATAATTGTATTATCATTTCCAATTGTCTAACCAAGGAAAAGCACACATATTTCACTGAATGTATTTTTTTTTCCATTTCTTACCTACATTCTTCACATTGTACTAAGTCTTTCTGATGAGTTCTAAATGGAGAAATAAAACAATGAGATGCAGTCCCCTGTAAGATGCTGCTTCACAAACCAGCACTGAGCCAGAGTTCACTTACTTTTGCTGCAACCCAATAGATTGTTGACATCCAAGTGGCTTGCACTGGGAACACACGCATCACACTTTGAGCCAGTGACAAATTGTTTACAGAAACACTGGCCTGTGACCAAGTGGCAGGTTTCATTCAAGGCTCCTGAGAGATGACAATTACAAGGCTGACATCTGAAAACAAGACAAATAAACCATCAAAGAGAATAGTGTTTTGATTAATAATTCATAGTATAAGTTACACCTACCAATAGCATTGTAGAGTAAGATGGTTTATTTTAGCCAACAAATTGAAAAGAATCTTGAGCTAAACAAATATAGAATCAACATAAAATAAAGGAAAATAGAAAAGATGTTTATAAAACTACTGGTCCTGGTAAAACCTGTATAAAGCTTTCTCTTTATAAACTAACTAATAGCAAAAAATATATTATATTGTTTTTTAAAATCCCACAGTATATCTTATAGATTAGTTTGAATCCAGTTGTTCAATTAGGAATACTGTAAATTTTGCTTTTATAAAAGCAGTTCTCCTGTCAGCTAAAAATTTAGATTAGGTACCCATAAAATTATCTTTTCAAGTGACTATCCAATTGCAAAATAGAAAACCAGGGGTAAATCATTGCTCTCCCTAAAAATCTTAAAATTCTATAGTTAGTTCTATGAAGACTAAATTTCACTAAGAAAGTTGCTTGAGGAAGACAGGTTCAAATATTGTTGATGCCTTAATATGGGTTATATTTCATCTTCTATTTTATGAACTAAACTTATCTATCCACAATGGTTGGAGAATACAATATTATTCTGATTTATGAAAAGATGCAAATGATGTGAACATAATAAGATAACTTTACTGCAGCTTAAATTTCTTGGATCCAAAGTTGCCTGTAAAAATACCAGTAGTGGCATTTTGCCATAATAGAAAATAAAATTTGTTCCCTCACAGTGAATTATTCAAACATGTAGCTTATGCCAATGGCACTGATTAGGATAAGCAATGTTAGTGCCATGAGGTATTAGAGAAGCAAAACAGCACAGGTAAGAAGACCACTCACCATTAAAAAGGTACTCTCCTTGTGGTATGTTTAAAATGTCAAAAGGATTCACCTATATGTTCTAATAAAGATGCTGAATGGACGGAGTTACTTTTCCCCACTGCAATTTTTACAGTGTGATCTCTTGAGTAATCATTCAACACCCTTAAAAAGGCTGATAAAAGCTAAGACTGCCAAATAAGCTGCAAATTTGTTTTATGGACTAATATCCCCTTGGGAATAAAGAAAGTACAGTTTTTCTTGAAAACCACTGTACTGTAGTTTGCCCTTTTTATGGTCATGACAAAAGGACATTTTCCCCCTTCAAACAACTGTATTAGGTCTTTTATCTATACACATTACATCAGAATTCATTTCATATAGATGTTTTGTTTAGGTTAAGTTTTAGAGCTGAGAAAAGTATGTATTATAATTAAAATGGAATTATAGATGCAAAAATATTTGATTTGCTCTTAATTTCATTATATGCTGTTATGTAGAGTCTATTGTTTATAGGCTTTTAATGTAATTTTAGTGAGCATAAACAATAAGAGAAAAACTTCTCTCAATGTGTGTGTGTGTGTGTGTGTTTGTGTATATATGTATAACTGCACCACTCATGTGTAAGTGTCTCTTGAGTATTTCAGTTTTGATTATCATTCACTCCTGAGACAATCACACTTATTTTACATATAATACATTTAGAATAATAGCTTCCAGTGTATAACATTATTCCGTTCTTTGGTGTAGTGCTATTTTTTTTCCATCCAAAGCATGCAGTGTTTTGAGCAATTAAATGTGTCTGTTCTTGATTTCAGTCTCTTTTCCAAGCCATTGTTATAGTCAACTTATCTGACTTGTTATAATCGCTTGACTTCAGTAAGAATTTTTCCTAAATGAAGTTCACGGGAGAAGACTTTTCTGAACATTGTAGTTTGTTTTTACCCCAAAGGACACTGGGGATAATTTTGTAATTAAGGATTAAGTAAAATGATTCCTTTAGATTTCTCAGCCACTCAAATATAATTTTAAACATTTCCAAGACTCTTTAGCAAATAAGCTACAAGTTTGATGTCATTTTATAAGTTATCCCTCCTCAAGAGTACCTCCTAAATGAAATACATTTCACATTTATTAAAACAAAATTATACATAATAAAGGAAAAGATATTTTAAGCTTAGAAAGAGAAACACCAAACTAAGATGAATTGCAATATTGATTTTGCCAGGATAAATGGTTTTTGTAATATTAATATAAAGAAACCTTTATTACACTGACTCTCTTGGTACAGCCAGAGCTTCTCCCGCAATCTGTTTAAAATCTTCATTTTTCATCCTTATGGGAAAACCTCACTTGCTAAATGGATTTCATAAAGAGTAATCTGTCAAGATTTATATAGATAAACAATTTGTGATGTTTATTGACCAGTTCATTATGGTAAACAAAATAGGAGTAAAGCATCGCTAATCTCTGCCAGCAGTTTGCTATGATAGTACTCTTTGGACCCTTACATAACTCAGTATTTACTGGTTACAATGGGAAAGAAGTTGGCCTCTGTCTCCTAAATCACAAATTTATATACTTTCCTTTCCTAGGAGTTTCTTCCAGTTGTGGAAACAGTGAGAGAAAGTGTTATCCTAATTATTACTGTTGAAGAAACCTAACTATTAATGAAAGGAATATGTTTCAGTAATGCACATCACTGTCAGAAAATTCATCATCTGAGGGAGAACTACTGTAGGATGCCCAGAGATATATCCCAAGATATATAGGTCACTTTATTGACATTTCTCTTTGTACACCCCTCCTCTGTCTGGGGCCTCAGCTCATGGGTACTATCAAATTGATTTAAATATTGATTGACATAAATAACATTCATTGAGGGTCAGCTATGTTCCAGGACTGGAATAAACATCAAGGATATAGAGATTAATCATATAGAATTGCCCCCGTCCTCAAGGAGCTCACAATCTCATATGCAAGATAAAATGGAAAGAGCATTAATAAAGATGTATCCAGGCTCTAAAGGTCCAGAAATGGGGCAATTCACCTAGTCTGGTAGCAGAAGAAGGGATGGGAAGGGTAATTTTAAGTAAGAGTCTTGGAGGAGATGCTTGGGCTGAATGTTAAAAGACGAGTAGAAATAAGCCAGGGAAGTCGGGAGGGGCAAAAATAGAGGAAAAAAAGAAAAAGTAGAACAAGGTATGAA